GTTGAGTTGATCGCCACCCTGATGGAGGTAGATAGCAGATATGAAAGTGGCTTTGAGTATGCTTTGTACTGCTGAAGGGGTACATGTGCTGATATACTCATTTGGTACAAGGCCACACTTATGCATCTGTAAGCAGATACTTATAGAGATATGACTATAAGCCATAAAGATTGTCTCTAATGATGTATTGCTAGGGGGAAGTCATCGACTACGCGGCACTCCTCTGCGAACAGTAAGGCGTATTGTAAAAACTCGCCTAACCGTCTCTAACTAAAAGCCGTCAGAGCTAAACAAAAATGACCGCATTGTAGCATATGTCTTGACAGTGGGTTTATGATGGATGTTGTGAGCTCGAGCTCTCTTTAATCGCTCCCTCATCAAACATACATAAATAAACGGCCACATATAACTACAAAAAGAAATAAATAAGGACAGACACAATACGGAATATGAAGTCTAAAAGAAACTAGTGTAGATGTCATAAAGGGCTTTAGGTATAGCAAAAGACTCTAGTTATTGCTGTTGATGTTGAAGCCCACTCGCTTGTGGGCCCCACACCTTGACCAACGGGTACGTTAGCGCATCCCTGGTTTGGTGTTTTGTCCTGGAGGCTTGCACCGCTGTGTAGCGACTCATCAGTGGACCCAAATAGTGGGTCTTCGGTGGTAAAGTTCGACACGCCTCTGTGGTAAACTTGCCGTACCTCACCGCCTCAGGCCCCATGCGCCTTATCTATTCTGGGCGCTACTGATGGAGTGTTTCCCTTTCCCCCCCATCACACTTCGGTTTTGGGTCGTTCGCGTCCCAGTTCCTGAGGCAAAGATCCAGCATCATGTCCAACCAAGATGCCAAGACACCCCGTGTATACCTTGTGCGACATGGTGAGTTCTAAACAAAGCTAAATTTGGAATATCCAACATTTCGTTTCTAAATGACGCGCTTTTTGCGACTAGGAGAGACGGAATGGGCCAAATTAGGTAAATTCACTGGCACCACGGACATTGAACTCACTCCGGTGGGGAGGCAGCAGATCCGCTCGGCGGCGACAATGCTCGTAGGGGCTGGCAAATTCCTCGACACGTGCCGCATCTCCCACATTTTTGTCAGCCCGAGGAGAAGGGCGAGACAAACTTTTGAGCTCCTGCTGCCCCCCCCCGTTGAGTTGGGCTGGATGGTTGAGTTTACTGAGAGTATTGCGGAGTGGGATTATGGGGAGTATGAAGGGCGCACGGCTGGGGAGATCAAAGAGTTGAGGAAGGAGAAGGGGCTGGACCAGGAGAGAGAGTGGAGTATTTGGAGGGATGGGTGTGAGGGTGGCGAGTACGACATCTTTTGCATTTGTGCGTTCTCTGGACTGGATAGGCTGTTGCTAATACCGGGTGCTTTTTTCCCGCTCATCACAGGTCAATGCAGCAAGTTACTGAGCGTCTGGACGAGCTTATTTCGCGAATTCGAGAGATCCAGAGACCTTACATGAATGGGGAAAAGCCTGTTGATGTCGTGCTTGTGCGTTCCCCCCTCCCTCCTCCCACGCTATTTCACCGAAAACTGCAGCTTTTCCTTTCCCCTTCTAGCATCGTCCGCCGTGACTGAGCTATGAGAACCACAGGTTTCGCACGGCCTCATTCTCCGATCTTTCGTAAAACGCTGGCTCAACTTCGCGGTCGACTCCCCCTTGTCCATCATGCTGGACCCGGGGGCGATTGCGGTTCTGAGGTACGTGTTGGGCCTAATATCATCCTTTCCCATATATAAACCATCGGGAAAACCAGAGGGGTTTTTACGCAAGTCCTTTGCATTAATGCTAACTCCTTTCTCCATTCTAAAAGCTATCAGCACAACAATGTCGACGAACCGGCCTTTCATGCTGGCATGGCGCTCCCGCCTGCGAAGGGCTGGAACACTGCTTCGTCAAATTGAGTGTGGCCACATACAAAATGGTCGGTCATAAGACGGAGGAGTGTCAGAAGTACTGTTTGGATACTGCCGTTATCTCTCCTTCTTCTCTCCTTTTTGGACGCACTGAAGCGTGCTTGCCACAGGCCTCTGTGTGCACTTAACCGGTGAGAATGGGGTTTGTGAGATACAAGATCCCTCAGTTGGTTCACGATGGGGGTAGTTAATGAATTATTGACTTATTCAATTAGAAACTGATGATTCTCCTGCTTGTACTTACTGTATCATTCTTTCTGTTCTTTCTTTTCTTGCGGGCGGGGAAGCTACGAATTTGCGCCGCTTTAGTTGCATATGACCGCTAATCTAACAGGGTTATACAAAAACCCAGTTATGCAACACTCAGCGAAATTAACACTGCAGGCTGCACGGGCCGTCCTGAGATCGGGCAACCCCCTAGGGCCGATCTTCGTCGCACCACAACACCACAGAGACTCCCTTTCCGTACGAGATGCGGCCTCTGCATACAAAGTGATTACAGAGTGCCGTTGATTTCCTAGGAAATCCTCTTCCGCGCGGGCGAGGTCGCGCATTGGCGTTGACAGACGATGAAGATGACACTTTGGTGGCGTACGTGCAATGGATGCAACGCACAGGCATTCCGGTTACAAGAGAACAGCTTGAGGCCTTGGCAAATACGATCATATTGCGTCGGAATCCAAATTCAAGTGGTGTATATCATCAAACTGGCTTACTGGCTGGCGAAGGAACCATCCAGAGATCACGCAAACATACTGGAAGGCCGTGGAGCGATCACAGAAAGGCTTCGAGGCCCCAGCGACTTGAAGACGTCGAATAGTTCTATTCTCAACAGCAGGCAACTATCTTGAAGTTGCGTATCGGCGCCTCGGAGATGTGGAATGAAGACGAGGCCGGAATGCGCATCGGTTGCTTGCGGGAATGCGTCCAAGTCCGCGTCACTCGCACCTCCAGGCATAAGACTCCCCGACCGGAAGTTCTAGACCCAGCGAACTGACAACCCTACACATTAATTGCCTCGATAAATACAGTGAATCACTCTCTTCCTCCGTGGCTCATTATACCTGATGACGAACTGGGCTGGCATCGACATTGGGACGGGTGTGCCATTTGCCCAGTCACCAACTGGCTTCTCCAATGCTGAGATACACCTTGAGTGGGCAAGGCATTTCAATCGCTGGTCTTTGGCATCGTCAGCACAGGCAAACCAGTCAGGAAAGTCTCTCGAACAGTGGTTTGGATGTGACGAGCATCTCCGGCTCCCGGATCGAGGCATGGGTCGGGTGGAGAAGCCCCCGGTTGATCGTCCCGACGAGGAGGAGATGTATAGATTAAGTCCCTGCACATAGATGTGG